CGAAAAGGTTTAGATATACCCCGTTTAAAGTTTGGTCCATTTATACCCTCGCCGTCCAACTTTTGGTTTACATATACCCTTTTGGGCGTTAGTTGGCCAACTCGTAATATCCAACTCATTTTACTTTTATTTAAATGTCAAATGGATTTTCCACGTCATTTTTATGTTATCACTTGACATTTATATTCAAGGGAAAATGGTCAAATATGCCCCTAAACTATTCAAAAGGTCTAGATGTACCCCCGTTTAAAGTTTGGTCCATTTATACCCTCGCCTTTCAACTTTTGTCTACATATGCCCTTATGGATGTTAGTTGGTCTCGAAATATCCAAGTCATTTTACTTTTCTTTAAATGCTAAATGAATTTTCCACATCATTTTTATATATTATCACTTGACATTTATATTAAAAGAGAAAGGAGTCTTTTATGCCCCTAACTATCAGACCTAATTTTAAAACACATATACGACCCGCCTTTTAAATAATCTATACAACCTGACCCCTTTTCTAAATGCCCTATATGGGTCGGATTAGGGCATAATTGAATCATTTAAAAGGCGAACACTATCGTGCTCTGATTGGAACCACCGAGGAATCAATGGAACGACAACTAAAGGAAAAGAAAGTCGAGGTTTGAAAAGCATTTCGGTGCAACGCAGAGTTGGAGGCGCAAACCTGGCAGGCAAGGGCTAGGGCGGAGAAATTCACTACAACAACGTTACAGGCACAACTGCAAGCTGCAGCAAGCGATGATGATGTAAACAACAGAATAATTCACACATATATGAGTCGAATTAGGGGCATAATTGAACCATTTAAAAGACGGTCGTATATGTGTTTTAAGATTGGGTCGGATAGTTAGGGGATAAGTGACCCCTATCTCTTTTAATATAAATGTCAAGTGATAATATATATATAAATGATGTGGAAAATCCATTTGGCATTTAAAGAAAAGTAAAATGAGTTGGATATTTCGAGTTGACCAACTAACAGTCATAAGGGCATATGTAGACCAAAAGTTGGAAGCGAGGGTATAAATGGACCAAACTTTAAACGGGAGTTTATCTAGACCTTTCGAATAGTTTAGGGGCATATTTGACCCTTTTCCCTTTAATATAAATGTCAAATGATAATACATATAATGACGTGAAAAATTCATTTGGCATTCAAGGAAAAATAAAAAGAGTTGGATATTTCGAGTTGGCCAACTAACAGCCGTAAGGGCATATGTAGACCAAAAGTTGAACGGCGAGGGTATAAATGGATCAAACTTTAAACGGGGATATATCTAAACCTTTTCGAATAGTTTAGAGGCATCTTCGACCCTTTTCCCTACATTATATAAATTATATCATACAAAATTCAAAAAGTATACGTTTATATACAAGCTTTAAAAAGTTACAAAAAAAAAGAAAAGAAGATTGAATGTATATGATGATAAAACTAAAAAATCAAAGGAAATCATCGTCATATACAAATACAAATCAAAGAAAAAATTGTTAGTTGTGAATTATACAAATATGACGAATTATACAAACGTGATAAATCATACAAACTCAAGCCAGCCACATAATTAATAGTTAATGTCAGTTGCAAGTGATAATTATTAACAAACTATAACTATGATGACTAAATCAATAATATAAGTTTGATTAACCGCATAATTTTTTCGTTTTATAAATATTAATCTAATTTCCTAAATAAACAAATAAAAAATTTTTTATTCTAAAATGTTGAACCGGTTTACTTGCACAATAATCCAAACTCTCTCCTCTAAAACCCTCAATTCTTTTCTAGTAAGCCCTAATCTAAAATCTCAGTCTCTCTGTTTCTACATTCAACTACAATGGGGAGCCAAGCGGCTGTTTCCTTCCTCACCAACATAGCCCGTGCCGCTTTCACTCTCGGACTCGGCGGCGCACTTGTCAATTCCTCCCTGTACACCGTCGACGGCGGTCAACGCGCCGTTCTCTTCGACCGTTTCAATGGTGTCCTTGACAAAACTGTTGGTGAAGGCACTCATTTCTTAATCCCATGGCTTCAGAAGCCTTTCATCTTCGATATCCGTACCAGGCCTCATGTTTTCTCTTCAGTATCCGGTACAAAGGATCTACAGATGGTTAATCTCACGCTACGTATTCTATCTAGACCAGAAATATCACGCCTACCGTACATTTTCCAAAACCTAGGTACTGAATATGACGAGAAAGTACTTCCTTCTATTGGTAATGAGGTGCTTAAAGCTGTTGTGGCTCAATTTAACGCTGATCAGCTACTTACGGATCGTCCACAGGTCTCTGCACTAGTACGGGAGAGTTTGATTAAACGTGCTAAGGATTTCAATATTGTGCTTGATGATGTGGCGATCACACACTTATCTTATGGAGCTGAGTTTTCGAAAGCTGTGGAGCAGAAACAGGTAGCTCAGCAGGAGGCTGAGAGATCGAAATTTGTGGTGATGAAAGCTGAGCAAGAGAGGAGGGCTGCGATTATTCGGGCTGAAGGAGAGAGCGAATCTGCAAAGCTGATTTCCGATGCTACTGCGGCTGCTGGAATGGGTTTGATTGAGCTGAGGAGGATTGAAGCTTCTAGAGAAGTTGCTGGAACTTTGGCTAAGACTCCTAATGTTGCTTACTTGCCTAAGCAAGGGAATATGCTTCTTGGACTCGGCCGTTGAGTAGGTAATCAATTGAGCAAAATGCTAGTTTATTTATGTATTTATCTTTTCGGAAAATCTTATATTCATTGTTAACTTGTCTAAAATATTTACAAACTGACTCTAATTGGAAAGTCAATACACTTTAGTTAAAAGTAGTGCGGATCACAAATATATGCAACAACATACCTTGTATAATCCCACAAGTAGAGTCTGGGGAGAGTAGTGTATACGCAGAGACCTTAACCCCCTACTTTGTGGGGCAGAGAGGCATAGAGAGTATAAAAAGAGACTGATCATGTTTCAAAGACTCATTTTGTAAGACTATATATCTAGATGGATAGTTCATGATTTTACCATACTGAAGCAGCATTGCAGGTCGTCCCCTTTTCCAATTTGAGTGAGTCTGGGGGCTGGGTCGGCATGGTAGTTTTACATTGTGTAGGATCCTCTCACCTTCCAATATGTTACATGGACTGTGGGTATGGATAAGTAACCAGTACAGGTGTCTGAGAATACTGAGTAGGTAAATAGACCTTTTCGCTAACTTTTGGTGTATTATGAAGATTCGTAAAGAACGACGGCTTGTGGAAAAAATGGCTAATCCATAGCTGTTGTAGTACTGCCTTAACTGAGGACAAGAAGGTTTCTGGTGCAGACAGGCTTATAGAATACTTACTGCCTTCTCTTTGCTATCCCGCAATACCAGAATTAGTTTTCCAGCATTTAATCACCAAATGGGATCAGGTTCAAGATTTCTATTTTTGGCAGATAAGGGCTAAAATAGGGGAAAGTAATGAAGGGGGGGGGGGGGTGCTCGGTGAGGATTGTTGTCAATGCGCAATGTTTAGTATTTGGTGACTAGTGAGAAAGTTAGGTGGTCATTGTTGATCGTGCCCCTTACACTCTGATTTATCCCACACAGGAGAGTTGGAAAAATGTTTTGGATGGTTTATTATTTCGTGTATTTGAAATGATGAAACATTAGAATGGTGCAACCTTGTATTATATGTTGAAAGGCTACTGCACCGGTCTCTCAAGGTTCTTTAGTGAGTCTGGTCCTACTTCCTGATTTTTCCTTGGTTTTGTGTGCTAAACAAAATTTGCATCTGATTTATCACATTTTGTGAAGCCCCATTGTATTAAAAACCTTAACCTTTATTTAACTAATGAATCCCTCGATGAAATAGGAGATACTTGCATACAATATGTGCCAGGTTAATTTTATACTTTATTATTGTATTTTCAGCCAACGTGCTGTTTCTGTGCAATATTAAAATTTTCCTAGTTTGTGTATGTGGTGGTGGTGGTGGGGGAATTGGTCTTGCTTCTGGTGGTGATCAAGATTTATTTACTTACTCGGTATATTTTTTTTAATAATTTACTAAGAAATGTTTTCATACTAGCTATTGCTAGATCTTAATGGTTGGATATTGAGAATTCAATCATAGAAGAGGCCCAATCTTTTTCATGAGCACTTGCATAGACTGACAAATAAGACCTAATCTCTGCTCTTGTTATGTGATTTGCTCTTATTACTGAATTGAGCTATTGTTTGTTTGTTCGAACTATGTTAACAATCTGAAGCTTTTGTAAAACATGTATTATATGGCAGTGTAGTATCGCAGGGTTTAAGGCTGATGCTCTTTTGTCTTCCTCGAGTGAGCACTGTTTTATTTCTATCTACCAGATCCTCTAAAATTGTGTCCGTTATCTGGTCCAAAAAAATTCTTAGCTTTTGTTTATTGTTTCTTTGTTTATTGTTCATTGTGGCTCTATTGTTCCTTTCCAGGTGGTGGTTTCTTTAATGGTGTGGTGTATTTTACTGCTATTCTTCTTCAGTGGCCTCTTCTTACCCGTCCTTTTTCTGGTTGAAAGATGACACCTTGATTTATCCTGGACCATGTATGTTATAGCGCGAATGAAGAAAACAAGGATCACTGAGGATGTTTTCTGTTTTGGTACCCTTTATGATAAACATTATATTGTTATTTCTTTAGACAATCCCTTGTTTTCCTTAGCTTTACCCTATTTACTAACCTAGTTTAAATAATTGTCATGCAAACATTTTGATGAGACTGATGCAAATTATTGCACGTGAATCTCCAATAAGTATTTTCTTGTTGTTTATGTAAATACCCACAATTGAAGAAAACAATCTAGGTAAGCCACAGATCATCCATTTGGCCTAGCCAAATCTAATTTTAGTTCTTTGGAATCTGCATGGTTTATGTTTAGTGACTCAGTTAAAGCATTTGTTTGAGCTAAATTTATTTTAGGAAAAAAGGTTAATTGGTTTCCAAAAGAAATGTGAAGGCAGTAACAAATCCTAATAAGAAAAGAGAAAGAACAAAAAAATTACTACTACTATATAATAGTAAGTGGAAGTTTAGGTACTACAAAGGGTGGTACTGATATCAACTACATACACAGATCAAATGTCCTGCCTCGCCGGCTAAGGCAAATCTCAAGATGCTTTTACGATCTTTGATTCCTGCAATCAACGTTGGACTTGCAACTATGGATCTATTCTACCACTCCCCATTGACACATAAAGTCTGGTGTTTGCAGAAGGATGCCAACTTCATTGATCAACTTGGGCTGCTCAAATCAGAACAATCTCAGTGATCTACCATGAGGTATGAATTACTACGGTTGGTAGTTCTTTTTGACTCCCAAAGACACCTGCATTCAGGCAAAGGATTCGAATAGATAGAACCTTTTCTGGTAGACTTCTTAACTCTAGGTACCATTATGCCCTTCCGATCACTTTCAGCCAACATTGATCCCATTTGATCCTTGAAATCAATCCAGCTGTTTAGAAGTTTAAGGAAAACAAATAACAGTTGAGAAAACACAAAAAGAGGCATTGATGTTGTGCTCTTGTTGCCTGGCACTTCAAGAGAATGTGCAGTGTGAAAAGATGAAATGAACTCACAGATGATATGCTAAATTGGCGAGATTCAACATAAAATGCATTACAATTGGCTCATACATGAACTAGTTGTTGTTAGAATAGGAGTAGGAACAAGATTCATATACAACTCTTTGATTCTCTATCAGGATCATAGATGCTGCTCTGATACCATGTGAGAACTATTGGAGAAGAGTATTATTGAATTTTTGTATCTATAGTTTCCAAGTAGGATTCTATGTACAATTCTTGTTTTCCTACTCCTATTCTAACAGCCGTGTTCCAAAATCAAGGTAGATTCAGCCTCGGAAACATTCTGAAATGATAAATTTTAGGGGCAGGTTCATTCCATTTCTTTTGATATTTACTATTTGCAGGCAGGTTACTTAGATTATTCACGACTAGATAATGTCGTGATTCATGAGCAAATAAGTTTTTCTACCTATAGAAGTATAATGCTTACAGGCAAGGAAAGCTAGAGTTTGTTTTCAGTTACATGAGAAGCAGAAAGAGAAGAATGGAGACGAGAGCGATAGGAAAAGGATCTCACCTTGTACTTGTGTTTTGCAATAAAGTTACAAGCTTGATTTTATCAGGTTTGATAGTCTTGGCATGTCCATTGAAAAGGTACCTTCTATGACCGATCAAAAAATGAGGGAAGTTTCCCCCTTGAGTGGTTACAAATACTTCACTAAACAAGCATACTAGGTAGTCCACAGCGGCTAGTCTTGATGAATAACCCTGTAAAACAAAAAAATATCAAAATCCGAAAAACTTAGGTTCAGTTCAAGCAAAAATAAACAGAGGACACATCCATTTCTCAGTTGGTCCATTTGATGGTACACACTATTTCTTTAAGTAATGGCTTTGTCGTCAACATATACCTCAAATGGCGCAAGTTCATCTTTGGTTGCCAAGGTCTCCTTGGTTTGTAGGAGGGGAAACATCTTCCGCAGAGGTTCTAGATATCTATCTGCCTGGTAAATCTTCCCAGAAGCCAAATATATCGGAGTGTCTTTGGCAAATCCCATACCCCTGAGCATCATGCCAACCTATCCTGACAAAGAAAAATACATGAAACAAAAGAGTAGTTACAAGCCTACTAAATGTAAGACTTGATATGTAAACCTGGAGTTCACTAACAAATAACAAGAATGTGGTTGTCAGTTTCAGCGTGACGGCTCAAGAGAAATGTTATATCTCATTTTTAAGTCTAACCTCTACAGGGGTCATAGGACATTTTCCATTTTTACGGTTGAGACCAGGTGCAATAACGCGATATTTCTGTTTGAACTTCTTTCCCCATCCTTTCTCACGTACAACGTCCATTTCTGACTTCTCAACCTGTCCTCCGTCATAAATACAGCACGAAAAGGCTACCATATCCTTCACATATAAGACGGGTATTTCATCATTAGATTGAAGATCAACAGACTCACTCGACCTCCAGACATTCCTATGCAAGTAGAACTAGGAAGATAAAGTGTACCTCCTCAAAGCGAAGGTGTATAGAAATATACTTCCCACCAGCGTTAGAGCTCCTCTCAATCATACGCTTGACCAACTTCTTTGCAAGTTCTGATATGGCTGGAGAGAACTTTAAAGCTTCATAATTAGAAAAGCATCTCAGGAACTGAAGATGAGATGGAAGATGCATTGACAATCTATTAGCAAAGGGGGAAATACGAACAACCCTGCATGATATAAAGTAACAAAATAATGTGATAATAATGTCAATGCGCGCTCTTAACTACAAGGAAAGAGGTGCAAATTGCATACCGCTGCTTAAATAAGACAGGATAAACCTCTTCCAGGTAATATCTTGGAGGTGCCCAAGCTTGAACTCGCAAATTCTGAATGTTGCTGATATTAGAATCATATTTCTCCATCACTTCTGATGGTAGTTCTTTAACCACTTCTACATAATCTTTAAGGGTGGACATGAAATGGTCTTCATCATAAATATCACCAAATTCACTGCTTTGTGACAGAAACAGAAACAACAAACATAACCTTTGTGAATACAGGAGTTCAACTAGATATGGTTATTGGTGTTACTCAAACGTGAAATAGTGATTTAACATGAGAAACCTTGCACAAGAATGAAGCACGTCGAGACAGAACCTACACTAGTCATTCTGGTGGAAAATACCCTACACCTATTTCATTTTAGCAGTTAGATGTGCTCGGATAGAAATACAGAAAGGCAACGAATGTGAAAGAAGAGTTCAATAAGAAAGGCAATATAGGAAACAGTTTTCTTAATCCAACACAACATTGCACTTCTTCTGTTCTTTTCATCTTATGAGAATGTCTTTGAGATCGTAAAATGTGTAATTTCAGAGAGTATAGAGCCTTTAGATCAGACAGAAAAGGCGATGAAGATGTGTACATTTTCAACCATTACTTTGTAGGGTTAACACACTAGTAAGTACTGATGTGAAAACTTGCCTCGAATCCCTCCAGACATTGTGAAACTCCAGACGAGGAATAAGTAATGTGGCATTCAATAGCGCAGCAATGACTACTGCATTGCAAATCTGCAGTAAAAGCGATGAGAGTGATTGAAGAACATTCCTGCTTAGCAATTTATATATATCAGCTATTACTGACCTAACTAACAAACCAAATACTACCCCATCTACCCAAAAACCAACAACTGCAATCAGCATAACTTCTTGTCTTCTTACTGCTTCTCTAATTAGGTATTTCTTAACAAAAAAAAAAATTATACCTATTATGCCTTTCTTTTAGCTCGTTTCGTAACATTAAAGAATGTTTTTTTCTTTTTGTCAATTTTTGAATTTAACTTCCACCTGTCATATTTAATATCACAAGAATAAAAAATATATTGATATAATGTAAGTTTAAGACCACAGAAAAAATAAAGCTTTTTCATTAAAGAGAAGAAATAATTTTGGATTTCAATAATAATAATAATAATAAAGATAGGATTTATTTTTGGCTTTATGCCCCATTAATTAACTTGACATATCGGTACGTTGAGATATTTATTTTTTTAAAAAAATGAAGCTAAAAAGAAACCAAAGAAAATTATACCTCAGCAATGATCTAAACGTAAAGTTAATCCATAGGATAGATTTTATTGATGTTACTTCTTTTTCTTGATTCATTAAATCATATTCAAATGATCATATCTCAAGTAACATGATCGATAACCTATCAAATTAGAAGTATTTGAGTTTTTTATTCAATGCCACAATTCTGATTTCCCAATTGATTTGGAAAGAAGACAATCGGTATTCTGAATTTGTTTATAGAGACAAACAAAAATAGATTTGTGAAAACAATTCCCGTTTTGAATGAACCCTAGTACAGTATTCATTAATATGAAGATTATAATATCGGAAGTTGGTATATCTACTATGATTTATGCAATGATCGTCGACATTGACAGTCTTACTGACAGATGTGAGGAAGATTTGAGGATATGACACATATTCCAGTAAATACTAATACTAACTTCTCAGGCGTGACATTAGCCGAACCACATATTGTATTCACTCTCTTACCATCAGACCAAGACTTTTGGGGATCTCAAATACAAATTAACTATTACAAACATACAATTTTTTAATTATTTGAAAAATATAGTGATATTTTACATACCGATGATCGCTGTTGATTGAGGCCACCATTGGCATCAACAATTAAGTAAAGATTGGCTCTCGAAGAATCTGAAACAATACATTATAGTTAGATTTTTTATTTAATGTAACTATATGCATTCTTATATTGCCCACCAACTTTACAACTTTGACTAGACGAAAACCAGTAAATCTGCATCAATTTGCACTCGGTCAAGTTTAAATCTGATTTCCAGCAGGCTAATATTGTACAAAAATTTATAAGGTAATTTGAAAATTCCAACACCAAAGTCATTTTATCATGAAAATGCAATTTTGATCAAAATCCAACTAGATGATTGGGTTATGGAAATGCAGACAAAATGTCAAAATACAGAGAGCAGTTGAGTTTCGAAGAAAGAACAAAATCTAGCATAATGACATGTTATTTTGATACCTTTAGTTGAGGCAGTAGTACCAAAGGAACAGGGTCTTTGCTCTTTTAGCTTCCTTTTGTATATCCACACAGAGGACAGCTACAACAAGGTTTTTGAATCAATTAAGCTAATTATTATAACATAACAAAAAGTTAAACAAAATTACTAAGGATTAACGCAATTAATGGACTAATTCATCATCTGCAAAACCCCAATATTCTATTTATATAAAAGTATAAGTGTTCTCTATAAATGCACGTCTTTTTTTTTGGTTTCTCATCAGCTTTGGAGCAATGCAGCAAGGTCCATTCGGAGGTGGCAATTCCAATAAATTATTTTCCTTTCGCGTGTTTTTTCAGAATTTAAATAATTTGATTCCTTTAAGTATTAATTTTTTCGTTTTCTCAAAATGACACCAGACGTGGACAGATTACTAACTAAAAAGATAAGTATTATTAATTTACAAAGAAGTTACATTTTGCTTTTAAACCATCCAAAAAAAAAAAGGTCTAATAAATTCATGTTAAAGTTCAAAAGAACTCACCATCACAGAATTGCTTAAATCATAATGAAACAACAATTTTGGACCATCACATAAAGTGACAAAAAATAAATCTTTTATACTCTCTCTAATCACTCTAAGTTGTCCAATTTGCATTGGCCTAATTAATTCATATTTAATTTTATCTATATTCGAAGAATAAGTTAACTAATATTAATGGTTAAAATGTGAAAAATATTTTCTTTTTTTATACAGTAAAAATATAAAGTAAAATTGAAAATATGATTCTTCTTAAAATCACAATTTGTACTCAACAAAAACTTTCACTAATTTCCTCTTTGCTTTTCAAAAAAGTAAAGCTGAATAGGGTTTTCACGAATACCAAAAAAATAAAATTAAAAAAAAAATCATCAGTTCATAGATCTGCTAATAGCTCAAAAATTACCTCTATTGAAGAAGAATTATCAGCTTCAATATCATTCCAAAGCTTCTGAAAAATCTCATGACTCCGATAAACAGCACCATTTGCTAAACCAGAAAATTGCAGCAGAGAAAACAGAGGACCAACGCAGCTGATCAGACCTGTAAAGTATAGAACAGAGACAAGCAGTAAAAAATACCGCCGGTGCAACATTGAAAAGCTTCCCCGCCGGCGTAGTCTTCTCCGGCAATTTTGCCGGTTACGCGGAGATGTCGGCGGGGAGGTGTTGTTAATGGTGCAACCGCCATTAACACTTTTCGAAGACATAAATAAAGGTATAAAAGAGAGAGAAAAACGTATGTGAGATTCGATAAATATAGCTAAAGTGAGAGTAGTGCATTCAAATAGTAGTTGTTAATAATTAGAGTGGCCATGGAGTATGGAGCCAACAATGGAGGGGGAAGAGAGTGAAGATGTTGACAGTAAAATATACTTCACTTTGACTTCCCAATGGTTTGGCAAATGTAAATGAAGAAACAAAACACTTCGTTTCAAATAAATTGACCTACTTTTCTTTTTAGTCAGATTTTCATTATTTTATTTCTTCTGACATATTTAAGATTATTTTTTTCCATAAATTTCGTGTAAGTTAAATTAGAGAAAAAATTACTCCTGTTATTTTGATTTGTTATGTTGCACTTTTTGTAAGTCAATTTGACTAATTTTTAAAGTTAAATTAGATTACATTAATTCGATATTTTAAACAAAAAATTTAGATATTCAAAAATTATATAAAGAAAATACTATAAATTATAATTTTTTGCATATCAATATGATAGAAAAAATATATCTTAAAATGTTAGTTAATGTTTTTATAATTTGATTCTAAAAATAGAACTTATTACACGTAATAGTGGACGCAGCAAGTACATAGTAAAACAAATATAGTTCTAAAAAAAATTATACACAACTATAGTTTTTAAAAGGGATAATGCACACTGCCCCTTAACCTATGTCCGTAATTTCAGAGACACACTTATACTATACTAAGGTCCTATTTCTCCCCTGAACTTATTTTATTAATAATTTTTCACTCCTTTTCGATCTACGTGATACTAACTACGTGGCATAAGATAGTGTCACGCAGGCCGAAAAGGAATAGAAAATTACTTATAAAATAAGTTAAGGAAATAATAGGACCTTAGTATAATATAAATGTGTCTCTGAAATTTCGGACATAAATTGAGAGAATACATGTACATTTTTCCTTTTTTAAAATCTACATAATTTTACAGCAATCAATTTAAAAGTGTATCTTTCAATGAACATGTTTCAAGACTATTTTAAGCATTAATATCAATCAATTATGTTTCCTTCCTTTTCTCTCTTCCAAAATTAGTAGCATTCTTTTCTTTTTTTATGAATGATTTTGTAATAATTTTTCGAATTCACTCCAAATTCAAATTCAATGATATTGTGCTTACTCTCCCTTTTCTCGATAAAGCATCATTGTCATTGGATTGTGATGGTTTAAGATACTCCATTGACAATCAGAAGAGAGAGTTTTGAAATTTATGTTTGAATTGCGATTTTATGAAATTGCTGCTAGATTTAAATAAGTAATGTTTCAAAAGATTGGACATATAACAAGGAGTTCGTATCTTTAATTAGAAGAATTTTGATAGATTTAGATTCAACACGCACCCATATATGTATTGTATTAATGTATCATTGCACTTGTATATATGCATTATATTCATGTATTTGAGTGTATGTGTTCATGGTTATACATTTTTATTAATGTATTTGAGTGTTCCTATAGCGTATTCATCACATGAATGTAGAGAACCAATTAAAGCATATATGGCCATTTTATTCATGATATATCAATGTATTTTGAGTCTCTATACGTAATTGATTATAAATATGTATCAATTTATTCAAGTGTATATGTTTGGTGTTATACTTTATGTATCAAATATATTTATTTGTATCTTCCACTTGTTATAAATTTGTATTAAGTATATCTAGTCATTATTACTTATTTTCTATTAATGTATTCAAGTGAATCTGTGATTTTTTATAAATTTATATCAATGTATTTTAGTGTATTAGTTCCTTGTTTTACATTTGTATCATGTATTTCGATTTATCTGTTCCCTGTCATACATTTGCATCAATATGGTTGAGTCTTTCTATAGTGTATTTATCAGAGTCCGGAGCTTTAAGGGTGAAAAATGTTAACAAAAATTTCAAAATGGTATATGAATTTTTTTTTAACCAAAACGGTAAAATTGCTCATGAAGTAGTAATTTTGATCGCTTAAAAAAGTAAAATCGATGCAATAGCAGCGATTTGTTAAATTTGATTTTTTTTAAAATAAAAATAAACAAAATCGCTCCCAAAGGAGCGATTTCCAAACTAATTTTTTTTTCTTTTTAATGTCTCTGCTCAGGCAGCGACTTAAGTTTAATTTTTTAAAATTATTTTTTGCTTTTTTTTTAAGTTTAAATATTTTTTTTTAAAAAAAATCAAATCGCAGCGGTTTTTAATTAAATATTTTCTTTTTTAAAAAAATCAAATTGTAAAAAAGATTTTAATTTAAAATCGCTGCCTTGGCAACGATTTAATTTTAAAAAATAAATAAATAATTTAATTAAAAATTTGATTATTTTTTTAAAAAAATTATCTAAACTTAAAAAAAAAGTAATTAAAAAAAAATTTGAACTCAAGTCACTGCCTCAACAGCGACATAACAAAAATATAATAAAATATATATATATTTTGAAAATCGCTCCTTCGTGAGAGATTTTGTTTAAATTTTTTTTCTTTAAAAAAAAATTCAAATTTAACAAATCGCTGTTATAGCAGCAGTTTTAATTTTTTCGACGGATAAAATCGCTACTTAGTGAGCGATTTTGCTGTTTAAGTTAAAAAAAAATTCATATACCATTTTAAAATTTTTGTTAACATTTTCACCCTTTAGGCTACGAACTCTTATTTATCACAAGAATGTATTCATATTAATATACAATTAAAGAGTTTGTAATAACAATTTATGTATCAATATTGTACAATTAATAGTCAATGATATAGCAAAATGAAGAAGAAAAGATCTTGTAGCTCAATTCATTTTTTTTTATCATGGAAAAGATCTTGTGAAATTTCAAAGTTCTATAAATAAAACTTTGAAATCTCACGAGATCTTGTTACACAATTAATGCAATACATCAAAAATTGTATCTGTGTACAAAGTCATTTTTAATAGGAAAATAAGTTTGGATAGCAAAAAAAGATTTATATATTGTTTTCATGAAAGAACTATGTTTAAGATTTTCAAGAAGTATATAAAATAATATTCTTATTCTTATTTATAGTTGCTAATGCATTGTTCAAGAAATTATATTTACTTATTGTAAAGATTAATTATATTTTTGAAGAAAGTTTAGTCACTTCAAAATACAAAAGTTTACAACTCTTAATTATAAATAGATATGGTCATTTCAAAGAGAATTTTTCTTTATCCTGAAAACTCAGAACATCCGTTTAAGATAGTTGTGAGCTTAGTCTCATATACATATATTTTTATACTTTGAACATATATGATTAGTTATGCAGTCACACATATGATGACTTCTTAGATTTACAATATTTAGACATGTTTTCAGTTTAAGTTATAAAATCGATTTTACTTTATCATCAGATGATAAAAGTATTTTTATGCATCTTGTATGCTATTTTATATATCTCTTTTCTAAATCTTAGATATGCAGACATCACATTTCTATTATTCAGTTTTAGAATATTTCCCAACCTTTAAATTGAAAATCATATTTCATACTACTCAGCTGACTTTATTTCAGTCTATCTTCAGAGCTATTCATTTAGCTCAGAATCTTCAATTTTAACTAGTGTTTCATTCAACTATTTTACATACCCTACATTTTATTTCTTACGTCATTCTACGCTTCATCTTTTAATAATGTAGACTCGGATATTCAGGATGGACGACATACACATCATTAGGATCATGTTTAACCAAATATGATGAGACCTCCTTACTTTTGAAGGGCTCTAATTTATCTTGAGTATTAGTAATTTATTTATGTTATTAGTAAAGTTCAGGTAGCCAGGGGTCTTGCCCTAATAATTTTTTTAAAGTATGTTAGGGACTTCATAGACGAGCCAGTTGAGTTATGATCATAGTTATTTTTCTAAGCATATACATATTATACATATTTCAGACTTTTATGTATATAAAGTTCTTGAGTTTTTTTTCTCTCTAAATTATTGTATTGCACGATCATCTTTCAAAGCTTCCGCACTAGTCATTATTCAGTCTTTAAGTATGTTAGTTTGCTCTGATCAATAATAATTTTAAATACCGATTATGTCCATGATGTAGACTCGAATCATGATATTATTGTAAATTTACCCCTCTTTCCACCCAACACCTTACCATCATCCACCTTATGGTGTTTTTCTAGATTATATAAATATTGCAAATGTCTAGGTGGTCAGTTAATGTATAATAATTGACCAGTAAACTTATAGTCAATTCATTTTAAGTGGGACAGGGTCCAAAATAAATCTAAATATTGATCTTAATATCTAAAATATGTTTTCCTACAAATTTGTATTTTCAATTAAATTACTCTGTAAGCTAACTAGATAAAGTTGGATGACTTTTTTGAAAGGCAAAGTAGAGTGACTTTGATCACTAGTTGCTGTAAGTTAACAGACCATTCATGCATTCAATTCAATACTTTTGGGAATATATTTTTTTCTTACCTACCAAACACAAAATATAAATTAAAAAATCACTAATTTTCCATAAATATATTAGTGACACACATTTTTCTTCCTACCAATTAAACACACCCTTTTTTGTTTGACATGTTTCCTTAAGAGCTAATCATTATATCATGTATAAAAATTGGTCCCCCATTTAGCAAAGACCAATATCTTTAACAATTTAATGTGAATAGGTGTTTTTCATCTTTTGTAGTTGTGGACATTAATAATGTTGGTAGTTGATGTATTTTTCTAATTTCACAACAGAAGTCTTCTTATCTAGGAATAAAAATGCTATGCTAAAGTTCATAAAGAAGGATTATAGGATTAATCTTGAGTGTTTAAAATAAGTTCAATACATTAGGACATTGCAAACCTAACTTACAAAGTGTAGAAATCAATTTCCTTAAAAGTGAAATTGCCAATTTGAAAAAAAAAATGGTTGTAAATGACTCAAACAAATTAAAGTTGTAGCTGGATATTATTTTGTATTAAATTCTTTTGAGTGGTGTAGGATAGTATTCATTTTATTATAGAGAAAAAAAAGGGCCAAATATAAAGTTAGGTGAAATGTAATAACTTTCTGTAAACACAACTCATGTATGTGTCTCACATTTATTGTACTCTTTTATTAAAAAAAAACATTTAATGTCACAGTTGATCATCTTGCCCTACTCTTCAACAAATTATTTAAGTGAATGTTATTGGAATTGGTAATGGTATACAAGAAGCTTGTGTGGATCTAATTAAGTTATTTATATGTTTGTATGTATGTATATCACTAGGGGAGAACAGAATACTCTTTTTTGGCTGCTAATTAAGTTTAAATCAGGGTTTGAAAATTATTTAGTGCAATTTCCTCACTAAAATTTGTGTAAAACAAAATCGATTAAACTATACTCATTTCATCACAATTTATATGTCATCTTTTATATTTTGAGAATCAAATGGTTTATGTTTGATCGAACATTTGCGCATAAAATCCTCAATTTTTTTAAATGAAATTTATGTATTTGTAAATTACGTAAAAAGTACTACTCCATCCGTGTACAACTTTTCACGTGGCATATTTAAGATCACAAGATCAAAGATCAATTTTGTACATTTGATCTAACTTTAATTTAGGACCACGAGATTCAAAAATTTCTTTATACTCTTTCACTCCGTGCCAAGTCAAACCAGTTCATTCTTTTGAAAAACAGCGAGAACATGAATCACAATAATTAATAATTAAAAATGTCTATACAATCCATGAAAAATTTAAACTTGTTCGACTTTTGAGATCCGAAATGTTATATATAAAATGAGACGCAGGTAGTGGTATAGTTGTAGATTCTTGACAAAAGCTTAGAAAACGACAAAAGTGAGTCGAGGATTCCACCTGAAAAATAGTTCCTTCAATCATGGAAAAGGTATCATAAAGCATTTGTGGTTAGTACACTACAGCTTTTAGCCAGTTTAGATTTGTCAATGCAAAAAGCTGTTTTACCCTAAATGATTAGGTTTTATCTGATAGAAAAAGAAAAGAAAAGACTGACATGTACTCAAAGATACTTTTCATGAAAAATGCTATGGGTACTCTATTACCTCTCCATTAGATGTTCAGTTCTATTCTGCTGCCTCAACATCTATTCCAATGAACTTGTTTTACTTCATCTTACAATCTCTATATCTATACCATCACTGAACAGGTAGCATCATCTTCAATCTCAGAGCAACGAGTACATCGATAAACATATATTACATACATGATAAGAAGGTTCGTACATGCAAACTTCTGCAATGAAAAATGGAAGCAGGCCTCAGGCACCTTTCTGTGGCAACGTTTCAAAAGCGGACACAGTATTCTCAAATTTTATCCGATGCAAAGGTGCACCGCTTTGTTTGATGGCACAAGCCTGTTTATCTTCCAATGGACAGCGTGCTTTTAACATTGAAAACACATGATTATTTAGCCTCCTTGCTTTCTTCATAGCTTCTAGCAAACCTTCAATACCCTGAAGATAGAAAGTAATGTTGGATGTCAAATATATGATAATTCTACTTATCAAACCGAGAGTAGAACTGAAGAGGATGTGAAATGTCCATTAGTTGTCGAAGTAAGCAAATATGAATTAGCCGGGACTAAGATCTGGTACTTGTTGGTAGTCTTTTTAGTTTGGTTACAGATTTACATATGTGAGGTCTAAAGAAGTACCAAGTTTAGAAACCCCCCAATTTATCTTAAAGGACACATTATTAAGCATTGGAATGAATCCGGCAAATAGAGTGGAACACATAAAAGATTCATATGCCTAGATCCCTCCGCTGAGATGTCCACCGGATTCCTGGGCCTTGACAAATGGCTGGCCACCTCTTACATTTGAAGAGCAGAAGGCCCAGGGCCACTATTAGTTCAGGATTAAAGCATTGTTGTCATTGTTGTTTATAGATCTTACATAAAACAGCTTTCAGGAGCATAACTGTAGCCCTTTAACAAACACATGATATCTTTCCAAAGATTTTTGATTCTGCTTAATCTCATGTGCTAGGTTTACCAACCTTCCTATAGTGATTGCTTAAAATATATCCAGATAACAGCTAAGGTCCTGGAACTGTTGAGTTATATAGTGGTTTCATATGAGTTGTGTAGAACTTCCATAGGGGTTTATAAAGACCTTGGCTATTATATCAATCCTCTTAGGCTTAGAGTTGTATGCTCTGATATTTTCACAAGATATCAAAGCACACAGATTCTAGGTTCAACTATATTTACTCTTTTTAGACGCTCATGACTTGTACCACCATTTCTTGGGGGGTGTTTATCTTATTTCTGCACGTTTGACTTTATAACTCTGCTCTAGTTAGAGCTATTGCATAGGAGCGGGTTTTTACTCTATGCACACCCAAAGGGTAGCGGATCCTGTATCCCTTGTCATCATCATCAAAAAAAAACAAAACTCTGCTTCGGTTAAATATCTGCTTCCAAAGCTTATTACTGTTTTTTCATAACTGCAAATGGACTTTGCATGATAATGGGTTTGCCTAACAAGGGTTGGGTATCATCATGGCTTAGGCAAAATGGATCGTGACAAAAGCATGATGCAGAAAATCCATTTAAATGTCTTTCAGCATATCACCAAAAAGCTCAACTCCCAGTTCCCAATGACAGATAGCTGCGGAAAGGCATAAATTAGAAAACACAATATATGCTCCCGATTCACCTTCCCCATTCACTCAGTTTTGGGGTCATTAACATTATGTAGGAGAGATGGCTATACGAAAGAACATTCCCCTCTGAATGTAAATAAATCCACTGTATCGGATAAAGATACAGCTAGTCTGGTTCAAACGGTAGCCGGTAAGACTTCTCAAACCCGTTAATGGCTGTCACTTTGCCAAAAAAGTGAAAATGATGAAGGTTCATCCTCCATAAGATGGTTACCTCTCTCATTTACCCAGACTCTTAGACAAAAAATCAAAAAATCTCAAAAAAACAAAGACCTAGAATCTCTTATGACTCAAACTGTAGAAAAATTACTTAAACAACAACAAGAAAAAGATAAACATATAAACCCAAGCCCAATACAAAGTCCAAGACAAGATTCGGTTTCAAGTCCAAATAATTCAGATGATTTTTCAGATTCAATACAATTTGCTCAAGACCCAAACGATGATGACTCTGGTATGAGTTTTGATTCAATTACATTACATAACTTAGACACTTAAAAAAAAAAATATATTATATATATATATTATAGTAGTTTTGCTTTAAAGAGGAATGCCTCTTTTGTCAAATAATGTGAGTCCCACTTTACTCACTACCACACGTGTGGAAAAACTGTTGAGACGCGTCTTTACTTTATTTTAAAATAGATAGGCACTCTATAAGGGATAAGTATTAACAGACAATACATCAGACAAATGACTAATAATAATGCAAAAAAGAGGGAATCATTTCACGTGCGATGGGGCCCAATGCGCACCCGGCGGAAAAGATAAGATTCTTTTTCATTTTGATGTCTGGAGTTTGAAGTCCAGAAGTGTGTATATAAGAAGACATTATCAGAAGAAGAAAGTAGAGCGAAAAAATCCACAACCAGCAAATTCCAAAGACTTCAAAATCTCTTTCCTCTTCAGAATTACCTTTTAAAAAATAAAAAATAATAAAAATATATATATATATAAATATTTTCAGTTCTTTGTTTAAAAGTTTGTGTTAAGTCAGTTTGGAAGTTTTTCGGGTTTCCCGAAAGGGAAACTTCACTCTGTTCTAAAGAATGTAAGTTTTCATATTTACGTTTCTAGTAAACTTCCCATATATGTAAATTATTTGTGTTTGGTAAATTACATGTGATATGTTAATTATTTGATAAATTCATGAATCTACATTACTTAGTATATGGTTAGTCTCTTAGCCTCTTAAAAGTATCGATGGATTAACCTGTAAATTCCTAGGACATTGTTAGGTTAAACTAAATGTTCTTAGAGAAGAACTATGAATAACCAAATCAGGGGTGTGGTTAAAGAAGATTACTTTTAAGAACAAAAGCTAAGAGAAAGAGATGAACAATAATACTATTCATGAGTGGACAAAGTCCATAAAAAAAAGGGAAGAAAAACTAGAAACTAATATGATAATTACATAAACAATTTAAAATTTTAACGAATTTATTGAAAAAGCCCCTACTTCTCACTTATCTATTGAAATATACCCTACTTTGAAATATCCTATATTTTGAAATATCTATCCTATATTTTGGTGTGTGTGTGTGTATATATATATATATAGAGAGAGAGAGAG